TGGAACCCAACCACGACTGGCCAAAGAGCAACATCGGCGGGAATGAAGCGCACAAAGTAATGAGACATGATGAGAATATATTGAAACGTGGCTCGGGGTGTTTCTTCTATTTTTTTGTTGGTCAAAGGCTCCTGAAGTCGGCTCCTGCTTGGCAGATGCATTCAAGAAGACTCAGAGACTTGTTGCTCGACGTGGTTTTTATTGGCTCCTCTTCCCCACGTGGTTTACAAAGGGAGGATCAGGATCCGAAGATTCTGAATTCAGGTGGACCTACTAGTAATGGCCTCCAATCTACTAGCGATGGCCTCCAACCTACTTGGAATTCAGGTGGCCGCAGCGGAAAGCCGCAAGAGATTGTATGCGCGGACATCGGGCACGACAGCCACAGTGGCCTTTTTTTGTCGCCTAGCCTGCAGAGAGCACACAGGGCGGATTAGGGCGGTAAGGTATATAGTAAGGACAGTAAGGAGTGACACGGAATGTGGACTGAAACTGCTTGACATATTGCGCCATGCATACCACAGGATGTAGATAAATATCACGCTGTTCCATCCTCAGGATCACTCACGGTCTAAGCTGACGATTGCCCACGTGGCTGACAGTGCCGCAGGCATCGGCACCAAGAAGGGTTCAACACTTAGTGGCTTGCTCCTTGCTTGCTTGCCACACCACATGTGGCAGAATCAGGAGACAAGTGGCTGAGGAAGGCCCTGACGGCGACCACAAACCCAATGTAAAGGCTGGTTTGGCAGACCTTTTGGGCGTCAGCCGTCAGCCGTCAGCTTCAGTCTTGCCGGGCTGTTCACGTGAAAGAATCGAGACGACAGGCGCCTTCGGATGGTTCCGACTGGCGATGGTGCCGGACGGACTTCTTTTCACATCGTGGAGATTGACCCCCCTCGCTAATTAACAAGAATCTAACAGGAGCTGTCTTTCTTTCCGAGTTCTGACACGTCAAAGCCCAAAAGAAATAGCCAGGCTGTTCAACCAACAATAGAGTCCAACAAGTTTACGAAGGGGCAAGGCATAACCAAAACAAAACTCAGACACCTTCAATCACCCAAACATCGCCGAATAATGCCCAAATCGCAATCAAACTAAAGACATGCTTTTGTTGAGACAGTACAAACAGCAATTGTCCACCAGACCGTGAGCAGCCAAAATGGGGCAAATATTGTCACAACATCAGCCCAAAAAGACCAAAACCATTGCAACCGAGACCAAGAAAGAACTGAGAAACGACGCTCAACACAACCGACGCCGGCAAAACATGTCGTTTCCACTTTCCACACGTCTCTCGGTCTGCAGGGCTAGCGTTACCTTTGCTGTAGCAGGTTCAGCCACAGCATCGTGACTATTGGTTGTCGCACAGCCTTATTTGTCTCTCCAAACATGGATTCCAACGAGTTCGAACGGATGTTCATTGATTGGTCGGTACTTGACAAAGAGTCAAAGCTCGCTGGCCCTTGGCCAGGTGCAATTTTTCTGGCAGTGAGTGGAAAATAATGGAAAATGCATTTCAAAAGTGTTTCAACAAGTGCTGCTGCAAGGTGCATCAACACCACTGGATCTTCCGTGACGAGTTTCTTCCCTCTGTCACTCATGAGACGTGAGAGGACGTGTATGAGAGGGAGCTTCAGCTTCGAGACGTGGATGTTCCATGCCACACGAGTCCCAGTTCGTGAGCAATGCGAAAAGCTTGGCAGAGTTGGAAAACAGAAATGCATTGTCGGTGTGAGTCAACATCTCCATATCTGGAGTCAAGACATGCAACTGATCTTTGGAATGACATCTTGAAGCTTATCGGGCAGTTTAACGGCTCAACGAAATGTACGAACAGAAGTGGATTACATACATCACTCAGGGTTTAAGACAGGGACATCCCGATTGTATCAACAGAGACACAGCAAGCAGTCACTCAACACGAACATCCTGCTACGATCCTCCACGCTCCAGGTTTCCTTCACCCCCCCCACCGCGCAGGCGTGGTGGTGGCAGAACATGGCAGAACCGATGGATGAAGCTGATGAAGCTGCAACATTTGTGACCATCATGCCGGATGGTGGCGGTGCGACTGATCCAATGCCGGGAGTTCCAGATGGTGGCACTGAATTGGATGCCTTGTTGGAGGAAGTAACTCCAAAGCAGCCAAAGCCAAAGTACTCGAAAGCATTGTCCAGTGTTGGCGGCCAGACCCAGAAAATGGTACAGGAAAGGGCCCAAGAACAAATCAACGAGATGCAGCTGTCGTGCAGTGCGTCCGGCATCAACCAGCGGTCTGCCAAAGAGCTGCAGTTGCTCAGAGGGGAGGTGGAGTTCAGTGGATTGGGTACTGGTGGTCACCGTGCTCACTACGTGATTGCTCCTCCAGAGATGGAGAGTGCAAATGAACTCTTGCGCTGGATGTTCGTCCGTCAGGATGGATGGCGCTTGAAGCCTCCAAATCTTTTGCTATCTTGCTATGGCGGAAGGGATCACTATGTGAACTGGGCTAATTCACCAACACTTCGAAACCGAGAGGCCTGGGCCACGGCCACCGGCGCCATAGAGGATTGGCAGTTCAGACAGAAGTTTACCAGCCGACTGTCAGAGATCTCATCAGGTGTTTGCCAAGCTGTGAGCGAATGTGGGGGATGGTTTGATCTGGGCACTGGACCTAGAGGAGGCTTGAACGAAGTTTTGATGGACGGCTTGAAGGTCTATTGGTCCGCCTTTGGATGCCTGGCAGGACACAAGACCGACAACGTGGTGTTCTGTGTGCGCTTTTTGCAGGACACCGAGTTCAAGGACAGCTTTCTCCAGTGTGCGCAAGCTGTGCCCGCATCCGGTCCTGTTGACAAGAAGGAAGAATTGAAGGAACGAGTGATGTACCCGTCTGTCAACAGCCAATTGTTTCCGGAGCTTGGCTCCGATCCGAAGGCCAATGATCAGGATCTCCGGGGCTTAGATCCAGATGAAGAAGATGCAGGGAAGAGTGCCAAGAGTGTTGCTGACTTGGAGCTCGAAGTACGTGCTCAAATCACGAGACGCTTCCTCTGCAATGCTCTTACTCACATTATTTTTGTTCAGAGTCAGCAAACACTGGACAGACTGAGAATCAAGCTCCGCTCTTTGGCTACACGGGCATCCATTTTTGCCAATGGAAATGAAGCTCTCATTCAACCTGGTGTAGATGGTAAGATCTTGATGGAGGCAGTGACAGGCGTGCCCATCGTGTGTCTTCACAACACAGGAGGTGCGGCTGAAATGTTGGGTGCTGCAGTTCTCCGGAGACGCCAGCCCCAGCATGCTGAACACTCGAAGTTCATGTATGGATATGAGCTGCCGGAAAATGTACCTGATGACCAGTTCTTGATCCTGAATCCAGCAAAGGATTCAGTTGAAAAGGTCATCAACAAGCTGACACTCGTTTTGTCCACGGTCCAAGGGAGTAACTCGTCGAGGCACTTTCTCAGCAGCTTTAGCGCAAATCAACTCTGATGCCACAGGCTCGGATGTCCGGGCTGACTACTTGTCTATGCCGCCAGCTTCGGCCATGACAAAGCTGAAGGCTAACCTCTATGACTGGGACAAGGTGCTTGCCTCCTACCACCAGCGCACTTCCTCCACTTCCTATTTGTGCTGCAAAAGGCTCTGCAATCCCTGCAGACGTCCTTCTGCGAAGGTTCTGGATCTTGAGAACATTGAGGACGGCCCATGGAACCAGGCTGGCAGCGATTTCCACCCAAACCCCTTTGCAATTGATGACGACTATTTGAATGATGATGGAACATCTCTAGTGACGGCCGAGGACTACATCCATTTCCGATTTTTGCCCATGCTTCAGTACTACTCTTGGCGCAGCCGCGACCTTTCAAGGAAAGTGCTGGTTCTTCAAGTCTTGACCTACTTTCTGACCGCAGCAATGGCAGCTGCAACTCCTCTCGGCTACGAAGCTTGGATACCAGTCCTGGTGTCTTTCATCTCCTTTTTTCACGGGGATCATGGAATTTGAGGCCTTGTCGTCTCAACTACGCAATGTCAATCAGTCCTTGGAGTCACTCAAGAACCTTCATTTCTGGTGGCAGAGCCTTTCAATGGTCGAGCGGCGAATGCCCTCCAACAAGAACGAGCTAGTGGCTTGCACAGAGGCGACGGCTGACAGTGAGATCTCCGCATGGAAAAAAGACATTGAAAGTCAAGAGTGTGACATCTGGCGGTTCAAATGGGAAAGAAGAGGCTGAGGAGGATTCGGATTGATGTTTCACATGGCATACGCATTTTTCCATTGCGCCCAAGGTGCCACTGCGGTAGCCAGACATGAGACTGATTCAGCTTCACCAAGTAAAGCTGAAAGACACAGATGCCACCGAAAACAGGCCTGCCTATTGCGTCAGGATGTTTAGTACTACAATGTACTACATGTGCGACCTTGATGTCGCTTCCCTTGCGCAT